TTTTTTTTTTTTTTTTTTTTTTTTTTTTTGGAAGAGAACATTTTTTCCCAATCAACAAACATTTAGAAATTTGAGTTGAAAGTAGCAAAAGCTTTTAGTATGTATTTCTTCACAGCCATGGGCACTTGAGATACTTTTGTGGATCAACATAAATTGATGATTGGAGCAGAATTGCTTCGTAAATTGTTTGTCATTTTTAAATATAATTTCCTTACATGTTTTGCTGTACTGGTTTGAACACTATTGCTTCTGAATTGAATATCTAGCTTTTTGCAAGTGTTTTCAGTGTGTTCAGTAGTTTTTGTACCAATGAGACCATTTTCCAAAGTTGAAGTACACATTTATTTTTTTTAAGCAGGATCGGCTTTTGAAAGTCGCTTTTCCTACAAACATTAAATTTATTGTCACTTCAGATGTGTATTTTTTATTTGTTTATTATTTTGAGGCTGAATTTTAGGTGAACAAGAACGATTATAAGCTGACATTCGAAGACAGTGGTCAGTGGGCAAGCGGTAATTTTACCACCTGGGGTCGCATAAAGAGCACAGAACCGTTAGATGATAAAACGAACAGTTTACCTGAGCTTGGTGCGACCCCACGCACAGAAGCTACCGAAAAAAGGCCTTCAAGTCTGTTAGCGACATTTGTTGATCGGCAAGCTGATTATGAGTATGCAGAATTGTATATGGGAAATGGTCGGTACGTAGATGTCAATGATAACGAAATAGGGTTTGTGCCGCAAAGTACTGCTGCCATGCAGTCGGCCGATAGGTGGAGGTTTTTTAGCCGAATACCAGAAAACTTACCAATAAAGGCCAGTCGAACATTTGCAGATCTAGAGTCGAGAGCTCCACCTTTGGACTTTATGGCTATGCAGCATCAGGTTGACATTCATTTAAATCAGATATCACAATGAACTGATCGGATATGCTGTAACTTATGCTATGACACTCATGCCTAATTTTGCAGACTCCGAACCTCTGTCAGTCTTCAGCCTCACTAAGTGACATTATTCTGAAAGCGAAAGAAGGTGGCATTGAAGAAGGGAAGCTTGAGATTTCTGTCCTTAATGCGCTCGACAAGCATGGTCCAGACTCTGGATTGGGCAGTAGTGTTAGCGCAACGAGTGGCCCATCTCATATCGAAGACTGGTCATCACTCGCGGTGCTCCTTCCTAAGTGAGTTTTCTTGAAATCTCCATCATGAGTTATGCATTCTTTTACGAACACTTCACGAAACTCTTAATGCAGTTTTTCAAGTTGCGATCTTCAAAAATTTCTTGTATTTTTTCAAAATATTTTGAAAAGAGTGAGTGTGTTAGCTAGTTTTGCTTTTATTTTCGGCATCTAACTTGCGAAAATTCTATCAGCTTAAAGGGAATTTCTGATTGGTCCTCTGGAGACATTGCGTAATGCTGAAGATTTTTCAAAATAGCATTGGGTGCGCAGCGCTTTTGGGTGATGAACTCTCAGCATCGTTTGCGAGCCGGACTTGTGCACAGCAGCATTATGTACTAAAGAATCTTAACTGCTCCAAAAAAATGGGACAATCAATTTTGTTTTCAATTGGCTTTATGAGATTTCTTTCCTGCAACCAGTAGTTTGCATATTTCAAAATATTCTTTAGCAGTACAACACTTTTAGGAAATCTAAATTTTCACGTAAAATCAAAAGTTTAAATTACATCATTGTTGGTGGAAAAATTTGGCTTTGTTTTCCACTGCAAAAGTACTTGGATTCAGCTGGTTAGAGCAGCTTTTTAAAATCTTGAAAGCGTATGTGTTTTCTGTTGCAAATCACCTTTTTGTCTCTTGATCCCTTCGTCTCAGCCCCGCCTACATCTAATTTTTGAAAAATTTTTATCTAGTAATATTTCCGGAAAAGAGTGTAAATATTTGTTTTATATTATTCTATAGGTTTCAACTTAATTTTTTGAGGGTTGGTCAAGGAACTAGTGACATTTATATCCGCAATATTACCAAGTGTAGGGTCGTTGTTGCTTCATTCCCCGGGCAACAACTTTGTAGCTTTCTTTTTTTCTCCAAAACATTTGTTTATGTTTTAGTTTTTTATCTACATCACTTTAATTCAGCCAACGTAACGTTTAATTATAGGACAAAGTTGTGGTTTGTCAGTGTTGGTTTCCAGCAATTTTTTGTCTCTGAAGGGAAAATGGAAGCTTATTTTTAATTTATGGTATTTGCAAAGAATTTTGCAGGCATGTTGTCGAAGCCTGCTCTTTCTTTAAAGCAAATTCGCGTCTACTGACGGGGTCTCACTGTTCGAATAATATTGAACGACCGAATCCGCGAAAAAACACTGCTTGTAGGACTTGTTTTGGAGTTCGGAGGAGACTTCATCCTCCACTATGGGCTTATCCAGCAAGTGCAAGAAATGTTCTTTGCGACTGTGCTACCAGCGAGGTATAGGTCCTTTGTCACTAGCAGTAAAATTGATTTTTGTTAAATTGGTCTTCCGGAGCAGTAACAACTAGTTTCGTTTGACTATTTTTCGTTGCAACCATGCGATATGGGCCATTTTGAAACCTGTTTGATTAATTCTTAATATTTAAAGTATTGGTAAAAATAAAAGCATTGAAATAATAAGAGCTATAAGAACAGTAATTTCTTGTTTGAAAATAAACCGTAATTTTTATCGTAAATTCCTCATATTCTTTCAGGTTCTCGAACGAAGCTACCATAGCGTAAAAGAGCAGAGTTGTGCATCTGCTCGGCTCATGTTGCGTGCACAGGAGCTAAGTATAGTTGGCTTGCCAGTATACGATTCAAAGCGGATGCTTGTTGAAAGGGTAAATTACTTGACTAATTGTCATCTCATCTTACCTATTCCAGTTTTTATATTCCGACAATTTTTTACCGAATTGACTTAATAGGAGGAAATTTAGGTAGTAGAAGGGGTCGCTGAGGTAGTGCGTGGGAATGACTCCTCCAGTCTCTGTGTAGCACTAGAGACGTTGGTCTCGGATGGTTTGCGAGATCAGCATCCGTGGAACATGATTGTTGCTGTCACTTCATCAGGCAATATTCATCTCTTGTATTTTTTGCTCAATTGCTTTTGAATAGGGCAAACTGAAGATGGACTTAGAGATTCTGAAAAAGCTGTTTCAGGTCCAGCTACAAGGAACGTTTACGCGCTTGTATGTGAGCTAAACAAAAGCAAGAAAGGCTTAGATTTCCAAGTGTCTCAGTTTTTTAATGAATTGATCAGGTGTGGACAATATTTTTGAATTAACTTTTTCGCGAGTCTTTTGGACAGTTGCCAGTTATGTGGATTATGCCTTGTATAGTTTCGTTATTAGCTGGGCTTATCAACTTAAATATTTCAGTACGGGTTCAGTCGACTGTTGGATCGCTTATGTTGTTCTAAAGGAAAGTTTGTTACGAAAATATTACATTGACAGTGCGTTTCTATTACGAGCTTGCACTGCGTATCGAAGCCTCCTGTACAGGTTATTGGAAAATTTAGAAGTACTCTCTGTGCTTGAAGAAGGATTTAGCTTGCGGACATGTGGTCGATACCGCATTTCAAGGACGGCTTCACATCTTCAGCAGCCATCAAAGTTGCCCAGCGACTCTCGTGTTCCTAAAAGTTCTTCTGTGCCAGCACGACTGTCAACACAGAGAAGAACAATGAGTTGTGTTCCGTGCTCACATTTAATAAGACGCTCAAGAATTCCCCAACTTGCTTATCGCCCAAAACATGTCTCGTCTGGAGTCCCTTCAACGTTAGCAAGAAATTATTTTGCTTCTGCATTGGGCGACTTCAGTAAACCTGGTATGCTCGCTGTTACGCGGGGCGAATTATTGCGTGTGCTCACAACAAGGGGGACGTTAGCACATTGCTGTAGGATGCGTCCTCGTTATGACTGCGTTTCTCTGGGTCTTGTTCCAGTTTCTAATCTCTCTACTAAATAATCTAGTCTGGTAAACGTTGGAGTCCCAGGAAAAGTTTATTTTGCTCATTTAAAGTGACATATTTTTTTTACAAGGAAACGTTCTTTTTCTCAGTTTTACGCCGATCTTTCCTGGATTCCTAGTTTCCATCATTGATGCTTGCCTATTTGACTTTTTTTGTGCTTCTTTGAATGCACTTTAATTGATATCAAAAGTTGCTTATCTGTGCATATTTATTGGACGTAATCAAACTTAACGATGCATTCAAATTCCTAATTTATAAGTAGTTCTGAAGTAATCTAGAACTGCAGCGTAATGTTTTGAGTTTGTAAAATTGTTTGTTATATAAGCAAAGAGTCTCGCAGTATTTCTAAGTTTCAAAGCCGCCGAGTGACCTCATCTAGCTGAATTTCCAGTATATTCCGGTTTGAGTTATTTTGAGAAACTGTAAAAGAATTTTTCTCGTAACCAAAATGAAAAGCTGTGGCTGATAATTAATTGTTTATGGCCACTTGTTTATCCTTTGAGGTTTCGTTGTACAGTTGAGTCTGAATAAAGTTTCTACTGTATCACTTATTTGTTAACCCTTTCATTGTCGAAAAAATTACATGCTAGTCCATTTCGTAGTGAGTTTTGTTTGAAGAAGAGATTAAAATGAGACCTTATGTAATCCTGGACAGCGTTTGATATCCAGAGTTATTTGTAAACTGGATCAGCGGCAGTCAGAGGTGGAAAAATGATTTAGAGGAGAAAGAAAGTGTGGGTTTGCCTACTTAATTCCTTGGTCGAAGCATACTTTCTTGAGGCGGCATAACTAAGTTTGTATCAGAGATGCAGAAGTTATACGGGGCTAGCTGCTTTTTGGAAGTAGGGGGTTATGGGCGTTTCTCGCTTTTTTCTTCTCCACTAGAAACCGGTGTTTGCTAATTTCAGGTAGGTCCTCCACGTTTGAGGTCTCATGACTGCCTTTCTAGCAAGCCTGATGGTGTGGCGCGATTCATCATTTTCTTGTGTTGTTTTCTAAAAAAATTTTTTGGCAGAATTTTAATTCATTTGGGAACACTTATTAGCTTTTCATACAAAGTGGCGGCGTTTGAATTGCAGTTTTTGGAGACAGTTCTGGCTTCGTTATTTCCTGTTAACACTCTTCAGGATAACTGGTCAGTGTAAAAAATTTTTAATAGGGTTTGGAGAATGATCGTTTTTTCAGTTAGTTCTTTCCAGACCTACAAGTTAGTACTGTAGTACAAGATAATAGAACAATTTAGTGGCAGCAGTGGTTTAAACCGTTTTCCAGTGTGAAGTTTAGGAGCTAAGTTTCCTTCTTAGAAGTGGACATCAGAAAGGCTGGTGCGCAGAATATAGATAGAAAACTTGTTTTTCTCTCTAATTCTCAAACGCCATTCAGATATCAGTTGCAGATCATTCTTATAGCTCTAGATCTACGTTCAAAATAAACAGTCTTTACCCTTGTAAATCCTTGCCGTACCCGTGGCATTTTTTGGCTGCCATTTTCCACTAGAAGAATAGTGTATTACAGAAATGTTAGCAGATTGCAGGATGATAAAAACAAATGGGTTGACTCATACAACCTTTATCGTTTTTCCTCTTTTTTTGGCCAGGTCGTCCAAAAACCTTCCGACTTAAAGAGGTTTTTTCCTGCCACATGCATAGTTATCTCTCTTCGGAGGCCTGGATTATCTAACAAATCTGACCCTGCTGATTTTCAAGGTTTTTTCAAATCCAGATGACGCTTAGTTATCACAGGTGTGCTAAATCTCAAAAAATTTAAAATGGTGATACAGCTGAAAAGTTTTGGCTTGAAACAGAACTTATGTTCGTGTTCCTTTCACTTGCAAAAGTGGAAGTTTTGTCGGTTACACCTTCACTTATAATCAGTTCGTTAAATGAACGGATTGAACGGTTGTAACTTGTTCTCTTCTTCGGAGGATTCTTTGTTTGTTTCAAAATGGTAACTGCTAGCAAATTTGTTGAAAAAACTGTTATATACAGGGACTAAGAGAGGCTTTGGGGCGATGTGAAAGTACCGTTACACAGTAAACAGAGTTCGAATGAGAAACTCCCCAAGTTTCCTTACGCAACTATGAGTTCCGCAATTCCAAGTTCCAGTATTTCGAAATGCCAACTGAGCTCGTCGCAGACTGGCTCAGATAGCTCCCTTGCGCTCTACAATGTATCCTCGCTGCAATCTAATTACGAATTTCACTTGAACAATGCTTTAACAGAACGAGTTTGCTTAAACAGACCCCGGATGACGCAGAAAGGAGGAGAAATGTTGGTAACACTCTTCCAGTTCAGCGTAACAACTCACAAATCCGGTCTTTTCTTTTTACCAATCACTTCATTTTCTAATACCAAATACCGTTGGTGATCTTCTATCCATGTTCAACTGAGATATCTGTCCACTTCTCAGCTTTTTAAGATTCTACTGATATGCTGAGTTTTTTGCATTTTTCGACTTTTGTTGCTCTGTATTGCCTATACCATAATTTATAAAAAAAAGCTTCAGACTTCGTATCTGTAGGCTTTTTTCTTTTTTCTTCTTTCATCTTAATTCCACCTGCTGTACATTTCTTGCTATTTTAATTGCGTTTCACTTGATCTTCCTGAGAATTCTTTTTCCTATTTGGAAGTATACAAAAGTGACCAAAAAGGAATTCGAAATTTCCCTCAAAATTACTTTCAAGATTGTGTATTTCATTGATGAAAACGGACACTTTTCAATGCAGCTGTTTGGTAGCACCAAATGAAGTCGTTCAATAGACAAAATTCAAACGCTATCAGAAGAGCATTTGGTAAATTTCAAGGAAATTAAATCTAGGCACTTGTAGATGTAAAATGTGACGCACTTTCATTGCAATATGCAATATGGGGAATGTGGTAAAACAAAAATTCACAAAACTGAAGTGCTCAAGATGACAGTCTTAAATAAACAGGAAAAAGTGTAGGTAATTAGATTATGATCAAGAATCCTATTTAGAAAAAATAAAGGCAATTTTTTAACAAGAAAAAAAAATTAAGTTTCGGGGTGGAGTCGGAAAATTGTTTTAGTGTCAGATCCATCACATGCGGAAAGGTTCAATCGTAATACGTTCTGACAGCTCGCGAAAGCTGTCAGCAAGTGACTATTGAAACCTAACGTTGACAGAACTTTCAAAGATGCTGCATTCCAAGACTTTGAGTTACAGATGCCAATCATTTTTCGGGTACCTTTGACTTTTTTCCTCTTTTCGGTCCGTTACAGTCCCTTTTCTTGTATGGGAAAACTGCATTTTTACCCAAATAATAGGAATGGTTTCACCTCGCCCATAAAAAACAAATCTAAAAATGGAATATGAACGTGATAAGTGAGGAATGATTCTGAAAATGAATAGCTACCTAGTAAAATTGTGCTTCCAAAGCTTTAAGGTAATCTTCAAAACAGCATTTTTATAACATCCTAAATGTGCCACTTTTTTTCCTAAAAAATAATGGAAGAAAACTGGTTTAAAAAGAAAAATAAAAAAGAAAACAGTTTTGAAACGTTTTCTTATTCTGCTGCTAGGTCACTACTGCCAAAAAATTCCAGTTTTTTTTTTTTCAACAGCTTTCTCATCACTATAATTTAAGATTTGTCAATTCTTAGACTGTTGGTTGAAAGGGCGTGAAAGGGATAAGGACGTGAAAGCAGTAAGAGCTAGGACAGCCATCAGAGAGTTGCCGAGCGGATTATAGTCTGGGATACGTGATTTCAGAGCGGTCTTTTCCGACAGGTGGCGCAGAACAGAAAATGAATTTTCTGAGCTGCATACGAGATGGAATATTTAGCATAATAAAGGCCATAAGAGTTGCGCAGTTATTTAAATGGGCCATTCCATGCCAGTTCGCATACTTTTTTATTCAATATCTTACAATTTTTTTAGA